TAATTTAGGGCACCCTCCGTACGTCTGCATGTAGACGTATCGCATGCCAGCAACCGCAATGGAGCTGTAGGCGCGGGTCATCTGACCCCAAGTCAAGCCGCTGCCGAAAATAATCCGGGCTTTGGCTATCATTGAGGCCTCAAACCTGCCTATCGCTTCATCCGTCGCCAGCAGTCTTTGTTCCACGCCTAGGTACTTATAGACGTTGGAGGGACCTAATGTTGGCAGCTTTACTGCATCGGCTTCGATGTTTGCCCCAACAGTGCGCTCGTGTGGGGAGAAATGGACTTCCGCACATTTATTAATATTAATAACCATACCTGTTGCCTTACCTATTCGTGCGACCAAGTTGATCTGGCGTTGTAGTTCTTGCGGATTTCGGGCATATAACTTCAGATCGTCCATGTAAAATTGATGCCCCAGGGCAAATCCGTAGCCAAGATTCCAGCCGCTGTGAGAATTCATAGGTGGCAGGGCCTCGTTCAGAGCATGGCTAATGGGAGCTACTGCTAGCACGAATAACGCAGGTGAGAGCGTGTCGCCCTGAAACACGCCTCGGCATATCCTCAGTTCATGGCTGGATGTTTGACCTCTTCGCTGATTCAGCACGAAGCATGTACTCCATCTGCGCATAAGTCGTTGAATGACCTGCTTTACCTTCATTGGAGTATTAATGCTGTCCAGAATCCAGCATATGTAGTCATGCGGTACTGAATCAAAGGCCTTCTGGAAGTCAATCCAAGCCATACTTAGAGGATGCCGTCGTTGTGCTAGAGCATCCATTACCATTGCTCTGTCGAGGATATGGGCATGGGTACAGGCCCACTCTCTCCCCCTCATCGCTGTTTGGTTGTCCTGTAACGCTGGGCCCGCCCGGACATGCGCCATAAGAACTTTATAAATAACACCTGTAAACAGTTTATAGCACGTGTTGAGGCACGTTATGGGCCGATAATTTCGAGGGTCTGCTTTATCACCGGACTTATAGAGCAGGACTGTTCGACCCCTGCAGAACCAGGCACTGGGAACCTGACCGGTATCCAGCGTTCGGATAACGAATTCACGTAGCCGAGTTCCCGCGGAGGGTAGTTTT